CACACACACATAGAGAGAGAGAGAGAGAGAGAGAGAGAGATAGAGAGAGAGAGAGAGAGAGAGAGAAAGAGAGAGAGAGAGAGAGAGGAGCAGACAGAACCAGTAACCAGACAGAACCAGACAACTATAAATCTGTTATGTCACGCTCCAGGAACTACCACTGAACAATAAGCCCAATGATTGATTATAAAACCACAAAGAAAACTCCACATCGAAAACAGAAACCAACCACCAAAAAACCCGCCCAAAACCCCCCCAACAAAATGCTGCGAGTAATGATAGAAGGAATAATAAGGTAACAAGTTAAAGATTTTAGTTTTAGTAGAGATTTTACGGCGCTCGCAACTGCATTGTAAGGTCATATGAGCGCCAGAAGATTAGAGGTGTTACAAGCGAGTAACAAACATAAAAAAGAAGAAGGGGAGATAAGGACGATAGATGTTTGATAGGAAAGAAGAAGCAAGTTAAAGACCACTGGCACGCGTAACACAATACAGTATTGGCTTTAGCCTGATAGAAGTATCCAAAATGCTATATTATTAGTATATTATTCACCTTAAGTTAAGGCTTAACAATGCTAGTAAAGGATAGACAATTTAATGCTTAATTCTATCTTTCCCAGAAGCGCTTGTTTTCTGTCAGTGTCAGTCCATTTACCTTTCTTACTACACTGGACCTCAGCCTTACGCCGGTCTCGTAAACAAGAGTGCTGTCAACTCGATATTTGTGACGTCACGGTAATCCGTTTCAGCTGATCTGGGCGGGATCAGCTCTGAGCGTATTGTTGTTGACCTCATTACATCAGCGCACCTAGATCGTTACTTACCCGCAGAATAGAATAGTGAGGTGTGCACGCTGTGCGATTTTGTCGAAATCGAAATATTCAATTTGTTTACCCAGATGTCATTCGACATATTATTGTATACTTATATTATAATTCTCATAATTATAACTACATTAATAACAGATCGATATAGAAAAGAGTTCGGTAAGGACACTCTAGTATAGTAAATATTATAAGCTCGGTGAAAAGATGCCAGCTCAGTGCAAATGCAAATGATGTTATGGTACATAAGCCACTTAATAATATAGCATTTGCATAACGCAAACCCCCGCTCAAAAGCAAGCTCTACACGCTTCGCAATCTATACTATTGCCCCTGCAGACCTGAGAGCATTCTGAAACAACCTCAACTTCCTTGGAAGCATACATGGTACTCCATGATCGTGGTGGACCCTACCCCCCCCCCCCCTCCCCCGGTAGACAGAGGACGAGAGTACAGTTTTGACTGGCCGGCAACCTGAAACAGTTATTTTATTTTGCCTTCAGTAGAGGCCAGTTCGATTCTATCGCAGGGTATGCATTCTCGAGCCGTGTGATGTGAGGTAGCTGTGTTCCACACGGGCTGGCAGACTTGTCCCCGTGGGGTAGGATGATGTAGGTACATGTATTACGCTTCTTTCAGCACATAAAGGCTAGTCAATGGCATGGATTGGCCAAGACAGGTAGGGTCGAAGAAATTCTCATTGGTCTTATATGTATTGATCCTGGCATTGAGCATCATGTACTTTAATTTTTTTTTAAATAAATAAAAAAATTATGGTAATAATGACAAAAATAATAATGATAATAATCGTAATAATAATAATGATAATAATAATAATAATAATAATAATAATAATAATAATAATAATAATAATAATAATAATAATAATAACGGTAACAATGATAATGATAATAATAATAATAATAATAATGATAATAATAATGATAATGATAATAATAATAATAATGATAATAATGATAATAATGCTTCAAAAATAAATTATCACTATCAAATATTATTATCACAATAGCTGGATAACGACTGCGAATAGTCTTACAATTTTGATAGAATAGATGGCATATTTTTGTTTCTGATCTCATGGTCTTCGTAACTAAAAAAAAAAACCGGCTAAAAAAATGTCAGATAGAACTTTGTAATTCTATGGAAGCGAAAAGACAGTCAGTGTAGCTGCAGCTCATACTTTTTGTCGGAAGAAGAATCAAACTGGCTGATACATTATAATCAAACGCAAAATATACATGTTTGTGTGCACCGTCATCTATCTCTCAGTGTAACGCATTGGTGAGCACAAACGACAAAGCAACAACCGCTGAGGAACAGCTCGGTTTGACAGGAATGTTGGCACACACACTTACTGCCACTGAGGGACCCCCAGCACCAGTCTAAGGCGGTCTGACGCTAGGTCAATCGGAGTTTCCCTGGATGTAAACATAACTGCGCCTTGAACCCTGTCCAACGGCGGGGTTACTGTACTGTCTACAATGTGGTGCTCCTTTGACTCGTTTACACTTAACTGACTATCTTGATTTGGTGTTTTAAACAAACACAATTGCTTGTTGTATGGTCTATAACTTTGATCTAGCCAGCACTTAAGAGTTTAAAGAATAGGTTCTGTCTCAAACACTGAAAGCACCGTATTTCTAACTACTATTAACTATTAATGCTTGAATATTGGAATGTGATGGCTAGGTTTGCTAGATGATCATACTGGGCCAAATAAAAACGGAATTCAGACATGCCCCATTGTACAATATGTCAAGCGACGCAAAAACAATCTCGCGTAAGAATCCGAGACATGGGTGCCTGCACCCCCCCCCCCCCAATGAGCAACAGATACACTTAAACAGTGGCCATAACCAGCTGCACTAGTTAAAAAGCCCCACATTATGGTATCCGCTTCGTTTTCACCGACATACTATACTATAACTTAAAGACATAATGCCCTTTGGTAGATCTAGGGGTCGCCGAAGAAATAACTTCCGTGATACCCGAGGAGCCTCATGAGTGTCAGGTCTTTCCTCGCAGGTTTGAGTTTTAGTTCTAGAGAAACACATAACGGTCATTTTGCGCAAGGTCACTGACACGATAAGTCGGTTAAGACAAATTCTTATTTTTTATTTTAATGTAGATGTTTTACATCTTTTCCTTTTAGTAAGAATTTTACGGCACTTGCAACACAATACGGTCATATAAGTGCCGAAGATTAGAGGCGTTACAAGAGAGTGACAAATACAAAAAAGAAGGAGGAGAGATCAAGATGGGAGATGTTAGAAAATGGATAAGAAAGAAGGAGCAAACCACACCAGAGCACCCACCGACCACACGCTGTTTAAAACCTTTATTGACACAATTTAGATAATTCAGGAGGTAGACTTTGACTCTGCCCCCTCAGGGCCAACCCAGACTGAATGGGGTATAACGTCCCAGTGGTAAAAAAAATATGACATTCTTCATTAAAAACACTCTCCGGGTACAGGTATCGAACCGGTGTCGTCTGTACTGTGTGGTTTTTTGTGGTAAGTGTTTTACGGCGCTCGCAATTGCATAAGGTCATATAAGCGTGCGGGACACATTAAACATTTTCATTTGATAGGAAATTTTGAAATTTGGCCCAGATGGCGGCCGAAGCTTACTCTTATCGATTTTAGACCACACGGGATCTTTAACGTGCGCAACTTGCACATGGGACTTCCGATATTTTTCTCTCTTGTCCGAGAAGGCTAGGTGTAGATCTTTCCTACCAGAAGATCAGGGGTGTGGCTGAAAGACAGCAGTAAGAAGAAGCAAAGGAGTAGCAATAGAAAGGCTGCAGAAAGAATCAGAAGCCCAGAGGAAGGGGCAAAGGGGGTGAGGGGTGGGGGCAGAAAGAGGAGACGAAAGCAGACGACAGAACATTGCTAGAGAGCAGGTAAGGATGTGAAAGGAGTCAAATTTAGAGAAGAAACTTTTTCGGTCGCTACCCGGATTCGAACCCGGGATCTTTTGAATGAGAGGCCAACACCTTAACCTCTAGGCCACGAGAGCTCCCAGAGAGAGAGAGAGAGAGAGAGAGAGAGACAGGTGGGGTGGGGAGAGGGGGGATAAAGAGAGATCGAAAGACACATATTATTATAAAAACATTTTATAAGACAAATTTGGCAAACCTGTTCAAAAGTAAAAAATTTGATAGTCCTAAAAAGGACCTTGAAAAAAAAATTGCAGACTCCAAGGCTTCCTCCGTCAACCCCGTCGTTCGTCTCCCTTAGTCCGGATGCGGTAATTATAACTATATTTAGATTTATATTTGAAGAGCAGCTTTAACTAACGTGGAGCGGTGACCAAAGGAGCCTCTCTCTGGGGTTGAGTTTCTTTCAGCCTTGCGCGGAGTCTGCAATCACAGGAATGTTTTGATGGTGAACAGCGCCTCCAAAGCCTCGAGCACGCTGTCACTCTCTTGTTCAGGTTCCGCCTCTTCTTCTAGCATGAAGATCCAGGATATGTCTATGCTCGATCGGTCGTACTCGAGGCTCTCCAGTGAGCCCAAGCTTGATGAGTTTGCCCAAGAAGCTTCGGCCATGTCCGTTGATATGTCCGGGCTTGGCGGATATTTGCTTGCTTCTTCAGGCATGGCCACGGCAGTTTTCGAGCCTCTTGACGTCAGAGATATTTTATCTGTGTTGAGCTGAACCAACGGCGATATTGCATTATGACAGCTGAGGTTTGGGCTGCTTACCTGGACTTCCCCATCGGGTGCCCTGGAGACAGCAGCTCTCTCCTCTTCTATGCTGTTACAAAAACAACACAACCGTTTCAGCGTTTTCTGGATTCTTCGAAGCATGGCGGAGGGAAGAAAATCGGGGCAAAGACGTCAATGATGGAATTTTCACGCGGACCTCAGAGAAATTCGGAAACAGAAGCAATGCGCCGTTCTTCTCCTTTGTCTGCAAAACGTGTCGCAAACCGATTCCATGGCGGAGTGAAAGGTCTTATGGAAAGTACTAGATCTATATAGGAGGTTAGCGAGTGGTTCGATTGCCATCATCAATGCCTGTTTCACCCTGAATCAGAGTATAGACCAGTGACGAACACTTTCTGCTCCCCCCTCTCTTGGTCCAGCTTCGTGACATTTTCCAATGTCTTTCCACTTTTCTGCATATCATTCACTGTGACTCTTCTCCAGTTTCTGCGTTTGCCTTCTCCTTGACCTGCTGTTATGTGGATTTCAATCCAACACTTCCTTTGTTATTTAGCTGTCTGGCTCCCCGAGGTTATGTCCAGTCACCGCAACCGTCTTTTTCTCACTTCACCTCCAATTAGGCTCTGTTTTGTTCTCCTTTATATTTTCTCGTTGGTGATCCTGTGTGTCCATCTTATCCAGAGTAGCTTTTCCAGACAGGCACTTGTTGAAGAAAACCTGTGTGGCGATGCCTGCACACCAAACTGCTCGCACTGCACACTAAACTGTTCGCACTGCCGTGCACCAAAAAGATCAATGTTTGTACGTAGCCTATGTTCTTGTCCTTCTTGTTTACTCTTCTCGACTTCAATACACATTCAGTCACTCAACTTTATTCGTTCGTTAGTTTCTTGCCACAATTGGTGACCCCGATTGGTAAAACGTATTTTTACCTTCAATTCTTAGTATTATTCTGCAACACATTCTTCCACAATGGATATGACCGCTGCTGTTTCATTAAACTTCCAACTCTCTGGCAAAACAGTGGTTTCTCCAGGCCGAAACGCAATGAGCCCATCGCAATATCACTCACTGCAGATGATACCCAATATTACTACGTCGTATTGATGTTGGACACAGAAGTTACCAATCGGGCACTGTCAATCCTTTCCAGACCACTGGGTGACAACAAATACCTGACGTTTAAAAAGTGCTAACGGTTAGCCTATGAGAAAACAGAAGAGGAAAGGGCAGCTGCACTGTTTAGCCTCTCCGGGTTGGGGGATAGGAAGCCGTCAGAGCTGATGAATCAAATGCTAGCTCTCCGTGGCCACCAAGGCCATATTACCTGTTCTGGCACATCTTCTTGACCAAGCTGCCTGAGCAAGTCCTCATCTGTACATGTTGTCAACCAATACCTAACTCGACTCCCCACTACCCCCGACGTTTGCTTCAGTCACAAAACGTTTGTAAAAACACGCAAGGAAATGCAATCCACCGTGCAAGTTCTACAAACGTCCAAACACCAATGCCAACCAGGGAAACGAGTCGCTGGGCCAGCAGTAGCCTCGACAATTGCTGGCCCGGATACAAATCAACAACTGTACACCACCAGTGAACTTTCTGGATATCACTTTCTGGTTGACACATAAGCGCACGTTTCTCTGATTCCAGCAACGATGCTGGAACGTCACGTAGGCCCTTCGAATGCTCCACTCCAGGCGGCGAACGGCACCCCTATTCTCGCCAATGGTACAAGCACTGCATCACTACGAATCAAAGGCCGAGAATGCAACCCTCGCCTCGTACTTGCTGATGTCAAGTACCCCCTCCTTGGACCAGATTTCCTTCGTGCCCACAACCTCATCGTCGACCTTCGCCGACAACATCTGATAGAGGCAGACACCACTACGTCTATATCGTGTTCCATCCAAACAAAGAGCGTGCAACAACTCGCCAAGATTGACCCCAATTCAAATTCCTTTTGAAAGATTCTGAACAAATTCCCATCTATCCTCCAATCAACGTTCTCGTCCGAAGCCGTGAAATATGGAGTCAAACACCACATCTCAACAACTGGTCCGACAGTTTTTGCCCGACCCAGGAGACTGGCTCCAGATAAACTTGCAGCCGTCAAGAAGCAATTCATGGGATATGAGGAAAAAAGAATATTTCGGAAGTCCAACAGCCCATGGGCATCGCCATTGCTTATGATTCCTAAATCAGACGGTACGTGACGGCCTGTGGTGATTACTGGCGGCTCAACGAGAGAACAGTTCCCGACCGCTACCACATCCCACATATCCAGGATATCACAGCTCGTCTACATGGCAAAACCATATTTTCAAAACTTGGCCTGGTCTGTAGGTACCATCAAGTTCCTATCCACCCTGAAGATATCCCCAAAATAGCTGTGATAACTCCATTAGGTTTGTTCGAATTCGTCCACATGCCGTTTGGTCTAAAAAAAAGCGCAGCCCAGGCATTCCAGAGACTGATGGATACAGTTCTACAAGGCACTGATTGTGCCTTCGATTACCTGGACGACATTCTCATTGTGAGAGGGGACGCCAACCAACACAAAGAGGGTATTCATGCAGTCTGTCCACGCTTGCAAGATGCTGGTCTCATCCTTCGCCTAGAGAAAAGTGCCTTTTTGGCGTCCAATCCCAGAAGATTCTGGGACACAGCGTTTCCAAACACGGCACTACCTCCCTCTCATTGAAAGTCGAAGCCATCAGAAATTTTCCCAAACTATTCACGTTGAAAGGTCTTCAAGAATTCTTGGGGACGATCAACTTTTACCATCGCTCTCTTCCAAAGATAGCTGACATACTCCAACTCTTAATGCAGCCCTGACAGGCACCAGTTCTAAGAAAACGTTGTGTTGGACAGATGAAATGCCGAAAGCATTTCAATCTTGCAAGAGAGCTCTTTCTAACGCCGCAATACTCGTTCATCCAGATCCAAAAGCTGACCTCACCCTGTCTACCGACATGTTTGACCTCGCCGACGGAACAGTCTTGGCAACCTCTTTGATTTTTTAGCCGAAAGTTACACCCCCCTGGAGACTAAATACAGTATGTATGACAGGTAGCTACTCGCCTTGTACCTTGCATGCCGACACTTTCGCTACTCCCTTGAAGGAAGAACGTTCGTGGCTTACATTGACCACAAACCTCTGGCTGATGCCGTGAAAAAAGTATCCGACCCCCAGTCTGTTCGGCAACAGCGACAACTCGCTTTTGTTTATTGAAATTACAACTGCTGTACTGCACAGATACATAGCCTATCTCGCCCAAATTAGAAGCTATTCCGCTGGGCATTGACTACACTGTCACGGCCAAAGCCCAAGACAACTGTGGAAGCATCCAACAAACAAGCCTCCAAATCGTCTCCATGACAATACAGGACAATGGCCCAGTGTTACTTTGCGATATCACAACATGATATCCAAGTCCTATCGTTCCGTCAGGATTCCAACGACTAGTTTTTGACACTTTGTCACATCCAGGTAAAGAGGCCACCGGTAAGATAATCTCTAAAAAATCCGTGTGGCAAGGAATGTGGAAAATGATTTATCTATGGACAGGAGAATGTATCCACTGTCAAGCATCAAAGATACAAACACACACAAAAGCACCCCCCCCAAAAAAAAAGCTGAAAGTCCCAGAAAAGCGCTTCAGTCACACAAATGTAAACCTGGTCAGTCTTCTTCCACCATCAAATGGTTTCACTCATCTTTTTACAATTATTGACCGCACTACACGCTGGCGAGAGATAATAGTAATACCATTGCGGAGCACAACAGAAAAGGATTGTGCTCAAGCCCTGATCCAAGGATAGATTTCAAGATATGGGACACCATAAGATATATCTTCTGATCGGGGAACCCAGTTCACCTCATCCTTATGGTCAGAGATCGCGGAAATTTGGGTGTCAGATTGCATAGAAAACTGTATGTCACCCCCATCCAACGGACTTGTGGAACGTTTTCAACGTAGTCTGAGAACATCCCTTTAGGCACGCCTCTAGGCCCACAACTGGATCGATGAGATACCGTGGACCTTGTTAGGTCTTCGGACTACCCCTGAGGAGGACATCGGTGTTTCATCATCTATGGTGAGGTGTTGACTGTCCCGGGTGATTTTATATCCAGCGAGACCTAGCCATAGTCAGCCCAGCATTTTTTCAATGTAACTGCACCTGAGATCAGCTGTGATGCATCGAAACCTCTGCCGACATTTGCATATTATTATTGTGTTCCTGGGTCCTATGTCCCCAATTCCCTCAAGCTTACAAAGTTAGTTTTCGTCAGAAATGATGCCAATCGGGGACCCCTGCAACGCCAACATGCTGGTCCCTACAAAGTTCGGTCGCAAGGCGATAAAACCTTCAGGATCAGAGTAGGCACACGGATGGATGTCGTGTCTATTGACCGATTGAAACCAGCTCATACCGACATGTTAGAGCCCTCGCCACTGGTCATCTCAGGCCAACACGGCTGCCCACCATCAAAGCCTCTCGATCCAGTTGTGCCTTCTTCATCCGTCACGTTCTGGACGTAAGGTTCGCAGACCTTTGCGGTTCTCACAAGCAGTTGCCTTATCATTGCTAGGGGGAGGTGTGTGGCGATACTGCTTTCTCAGCCGTGCACCAAAAAGATCCATGGTTGTACGTAAGTTCTTTTCCTTCTTGTTTTCTCTCCTCGTTTTCAATACACATTCAATCATCAAACTTTATACGTTTGTTGGTTTCTCGCCACACCTGAATCTTTTTTATGCAATTCCGAGTTATGTTCTATATCTCACATCTGGGTTGAAAACCCTCAGCTTTGTTTGGGAGAGGGATGTACCAAGCTCTCTAAACCCTGTTCATGTATCATTGGCTGAGCGCAAGAAGTGACTATATACACTTTTGGTAGAATTAGATTAATCGATATGGGTAGTGAGATGTTAAGCTGCTCTTTTACCTCTGTAAACATCTAAGCCGTAGCTTAATTCGTTTTCGAGATATTAACGTTTCTTTTTTTTTGGTGGACTATTTTATAGAGATTTTCAAATCGTTAAAATTTCAAACTCCTATTTCTCAAAACTGCGAACAGTAGATATTATAGTCACTTCTTGCACTCAGCCGTCGATATGTGAATGCATAGATCAACAACTAAACAGATACCGTAATATTACTGGCTGGAGTGAGGGAAAAACAAGATCATGATCGAGTTCTGACGTTTTGAGGTCCATCGATGCATTTCTCCACAAGGGATTTGTGGAAAGCGAACACACTATGTAAAAAAGTAAATCTGATTTTGTCTTTATTGATGGGCGCTCCAAAATTATAAAAAGGTTTCATTCGGCATATCTCTCAGCTGACTTAGTTTTCAAAGCACTTCGTCATGTCTCTTTTTCTTTTTGCCCAGGGCAGGAGGAGGAACACTGGCATCTCTTGTCTATAACATTCATGAGTCTGGGAAGAGAGTACAAATCTTGGAATCCATG